GATGCAGTGCTGCTGGATGCCGAACAGTTTAAACTGCTAAATACAGGGGGTTGACGGTTTTTCGACCGTAGCATACAATATCACACAATAGTGCTACCCAGTTTCTACCGAGGCGAGGCTACAACACCACAAAAGTAGTGCAACCGGATGGATTCCACAGATTGGACACGCCAACCAGGAAGAAGAGACACGACAATGTGTGGGCACATCTTGGCATCAAGGTTTCTGAACTCACGTGCACGCCTGCCCAATTTTCGGCAAGCGCACGAATTAGTTGCGTCCAGTGCCCCGACAAGTGCACGAACCACTGTAACTGCAACTACTTGGGCATGCCCCTTGCTCGAAGAACTCAAGTCAGTGTCGGGAAAGCACTCTCTCAGGCAACATGTCTTCGTCTGTAACGGGCACTGACTTCAAAATTGGCTTTCACAGGCAGCTGCTGGGGGACCCTGGATGCCAAGCGCGCAACTCGAATACATCAAGCAAAAACCTTTGACACTGGGGACGGGTGCCTGAAGCTGCACGACAAGGCCATCCTCAGTCGATTGGCAAGAGGCTTCCAAGGGTCTAAAGGCTTGCCAGGGAAAACACAGGTCAAACTAACATTGCCCCGACGCGGCGTCCCCTGGAATTCATCTTTTTCTTGCAAGGCTTGTGCAGACGAATCTCTTCCATTTGTTGCTCAGCTTCAGGAAGACGAAGAATATATTTGTCCGGCACGAGGCCTGAAAAGGAACCTCAAAACTTCCAGGGTCAAATTTACCATGATGCTGCCCCAAACTTGCCAGAGGCACTTTTTCAAGCCAGGGCACCATACAGGGGAAGACTAAAGACATGCTAGCGGAATACTTCAAAGCATTTCGCCACATGCAAAGAGCTTCGATTTGGCCTCGACTGCTTGGGATATTGCGAGTTGATTGCTCTTCCCCTGATTCATTCCGATGTACACTCCTCGCAAGAACTCTGGATGTAATGCTCTGACGAATCTCTCCCTGACAAAAGCGGAGCTGAGGTCAGGGCCGGTCAGTGCTGGAGGAACGCGTTCGAGTTCAGCAGGCGTTTCACCTGTTTTTGTATTGCTTCTGCCCCTTTTGAGTAGGCTGCCTCCACCACAGCCACTTCCTGGAGGAGATGCAAGTTGTCTGGACTTCGGAAGGCTCCCGGTTTTGCAGGTCTCGCGGGCTTGTGGCGCTTGGCTCATGTACGAAGGATTGTCATGGGTGTGGCGGTCTGATGAGAATGTCTTGCTCACTGTCCCCTGATTGACCAAAGGCATTGGTGCTGCGGCTCAAGTCGAAATGAGCAGCTGCCGCTGAGGGAAAGGGGCGCTGAGTGATCAAGCGCTATGCTAATTGCCGCCAAGCTTAACACCTGCTTGCAGATATTTCAAAGAAAGCTTCAGGCCTCAACTTAGAGATGCAGCTTGTGTATCAGCTAAGGCTTTCACAAGGCACCATCTCACAACCGCAGAATTGTGAAAGGCGATCCACTCTAGTCCCCATGCCATCCGCTGGTACCACGAAAGGACGTTCCAAGATGTGCTTGGCGACCCGAGACATGGCAATGAAAGACTCGATTAAGATGCGGCTGTTTGAGTCACGTCCTCGGGCCCGCCGCGGATGCTCATTCTCACCGAACACTCAATCTTTTCGCCGCATTCCGCGACCGGGTAAAATGACCTGTTGCGCGTGGAATCGTGCCCCCTGCCAACTCCAGAAACATTACAATCAAGGGCACGTCAGAGGTGCACCACTGCTCGCAAGCCCACTGCGCTGCCGTGCACGTAGCCCATGATCGACGGATTGCACCACATTTCTGCAGAAAGTACTTGAGTCAGTCCTTCCTTGCGCTGCCGTGCCCGCGGGCTGTCGAGGCCACGCGCTGCCTCAGGGCTGGTGGCGATCCCGATTCTGGGCATGTTGCCGTGTCGTCGTGTTACCGAGAGCCAACCAAAGCAAAGCAGCAGCCGGATGTGAACGCGCACAAGCACGGACGTCCGAGCTACCACACAGGCCCAAGCTCATCCAAGCTCCGCGCGTCGGATTGTCGCCGTGCTTGGCCTGCCAGGCTGTGCAGTCGCAGCACAACAGCACCCCTACTGCGCTGCGATCTCCTACCTTGGATTTGCTACTCGGTTCTATGGGGGAGCAGAATACCCCAAGCATCTGAATCTAAATGGTTTCTGTACGTACACACTATCACCTGCGGCTTCCTCCGGGCGCATGGAGACTCAAAGACACGCTGCAAAGCCCCACAGGATCCGCACACGGCAATCCTCCGCCCGCAGCACCTGTGCGCGGCCGACAGGGACTCCATGCGTAGCCGGGTTTACGGCTTGGAAAATGGCTTAGGGCTTCGGGTTTAGGGTTAGGGAGGCATCTACTTTGATGTTTAACTTGCAGCGGTCATCGCACGTGGCACAGTTCGATCTCGAAGGGGGAGTTGGTGGGGCTGTATCCATGTCCTGTGAGCCAGTGGCCTGCGCATGATCCGCGCGTGGAATTCACCTAGTGGATGACTAGTGGATCAGCTTCACATGCCCCTCCGCATTATGACTGCCAACTTTCAAGAGCTTTGCGCGAAACACTGAAGTCTCGCCATCCGCCGCAGTCGTCTGCAAAGGGCAGCGCCGGCAGCCGCCCACGAGTCCTGGCCACACGTGCATCGCACAGCTTACCCGCAACCACAAATCTATATCCTAACCTCTGGGGCACGCGCCAAGCAGAGCTCCGTGTTGCGATGTGAGTTTTTTGCTCCAAGTTGTCCGGCTGCGAAGCGGTAAGTCAAAAGCATGGAGGGTGTTGAGTCGTCGGTCATTTGAGCGACCCGGTCACGGCGCGAGCGCGAACTTTGGTCCAGCGAGCCAGGGTTGAGAGCCCAGGATGCCAGAACATCCAGGACGACGGGGTTAGGATGGGGTTTAGGATGCTGTTCATGGCACGTAAGTGCAGACTTTTGTGGGGTCCAGGGTTCAGCAAGAGAGCTTCGTGCGGTGGGCATATCTTGGGCCTGCAAGGGCATCCCTAGGGCGCCAGTTGGCTCTAAGGGTCTGGCAAGCTAAGAAATAAACCCCTTGCAACCATGTTATCTGATAGCTTTGCCTAGGGATCTGCGAAGGTAACGAGCTCTAGGGCCCTCTTGAGCCTCTGGGGGGCTTAAGAAACGGAGTGCCACGAATGCTGATTCTGGCCTACGTAACACAAGCGTACTACAATCCTCCAGACACGACGTATGTTCATTGTGTACGCGGCATGGAATCCGTAAACGCCTGCTAGAGATAGCCGATAAGGTTGGAGAATGATCTCCTGACGACATGTTCAAAGCAGAAGTTAAAGTCTGAAATATAAAAATCTAACTAGCACAGGATGGGGGGAAGGATGCTGACGGCACATCACCATACCTCCTACTTGTAAGCCACCCACAGGGCCTCAACACTGACTCTTGAGGCGAGACTGGAACAGGCCTTGCAAATTTCGCCTTGGACAGAGTGCCTTCCACCCTGTCTGGGCGGACACACCCCCAGTCAAACAACCGTACGCACAAAGAACATAATTCTTACGTGCGTGGGGTTTGTTCCAACTTCAAGCTCCATCACCGATAGTTTTTTCCAGAGCACTTCTCGTAAAGGAATTGTTCCCCCCAAAAGATGGAGCACTTAACCGCATTGTGACCACTTGCTCAAAGAAAGCTGCCCACTCGGAGTATCAAGGCAAGGGCTCACGCATCAGACGCCACTAGTAAAGAGGCCGTGTTCAAGGTCCATGTAGCCACTATCTCAGCTCAGAGGTATGGGACTTTTGTGCTGCTGATGCATATGAAGATGCATGTTGAGTTCCAACTTTAGGGGCAGTGCATTGATGACGAGCGGCTTCTCATACCTAACTGGAAATATGGGAGACTGAATGAATCAGTGGGTGGTTTCAAGTGTAGGGTTCAGGGGTGGTACTTCCTGGAAGCCAACAATGGCTCGCAGTACGGGCAATTCATCGAGCCGTCGCCAGTGCCCCATGTTAGCCTAGGAGTTTTTGGCAAACTGCAAGAAGATGCTCTCGAGAGGCTATGCCTCAACCCTAAACCCTAAACCCTAAACCCTAAACCCTAAACCCTAAACCCTAAACCCTAAACCCTAAACCCTAAACCCTATAAACCCTAAACCCTATCCATCTCCCGAAGAGTCTAGACTTTAGTCTGGCAGCTTGGACCTTGAGGGCTAGGGCTGCGGCTGTTTACTTATCAAACCTCATCTTCAGGGAGGTTGAATGCAGGAATTGGGCCCTGATGGTTTGGGTAAAACCTTGTGTGAGTCATGAATAGAGCAGAAACGCCAGAGCAGTCGTGGCCACAAACCGGAGCCTTTGCAACGGAAAGCACAGAACTAGGAACTTGCCTCCACACGGCAGCTTGAAAACCGAATTCTTGGCCCTGCCGGATGGAGGCGAGTTGCGCGTGCCACTGGCACTTGCAGCGAAGGACCCCAACTTGTCGAGGCTGTGGTTCGGTAGCTGGGGTCTTGGAAGCAGTGGCGACTTGACTTCTGTCTGACCAGTATATATCACTTCGTAGTATTTCCCTCATATGAAGGCCACCAGCACCACGCTTGCTGCACCTAGAGGCTACGGTGTGGCGCTCTCGGGTTTTTGTTGGGGCTGCAGGCTTTGTACTACTTTTACAGGGCTTTAGGGTTCACGCTTCGGGGTTCAAAGATCACTCTCGGCTCTCGCACAATTGGAAACCTGACTCGGTACATGCCGAAGGCTCTCACGGCGTCACGCTCTTGAGCGACATCAGGGCTACAGTTCACAACGTTTCACAACTGTAGCTGATAAGTCTTCTCGACTCGTCACCCAAGAGGGACCCCCGAAGTCAGTGTATGGCAGCTAAACAAAGCTCAAACATTGGGCTGGTTGCAAATAGCACCCGAGAGCGGTGCGGACAAGCCGCATTTCTGCTCAACCGGCACTCGGGAAGAACAGGTTTGTATACCTATCGGCTTTTTGCCCATGGCCCGAGCACAGGAACAAAACCATCCACTGCTGCGGTTACATGCTTCAGTGAACACGGCCAGGCTCCTTTGGCTTTTGGCCGCGCTTGCCAACGACCAGCAAGGGCACTTCTACGACTTGACGCACCTTGCCCTTCTTCCGCTGTTGTTGGGAAGGGTTCTGCGCTGGCATGTGTACGTGACAAAAAGTGCAGTCTGCTCCCTGTCGGCAACCCGACGCCTTGACGTGAAAGAAGCAGGGCTTGCACTCAGCACCATCCGTGAAGCCGCACCGGGTCGAGCCGCGGCACCGGGTGGCGTCATTCTTCGCTTGCTGACGCTCACCAGGCAGCGACTCAGCACGACCATTCGCGTCCTTCCCGAGGTGGCAGGGGCAGGCACCCCCAACTCCCAGGAACGTAACAAACTTGGGAAGCCCCCCAGCTTGACAACGCACGAGATCACGGAACTAGCTACGCGTGGAACCTCAGAGTGCCGAGACCTCGAGTCGATCGCGCAAGCGATTTCATGACCCGGGCCACTTCTGCTGAGGTTACACCGGTACGCAAAACTTTCCGTGTCGGCTCTTCAACGAGCGACGGCGCCTTGTTTACATACCAGAGGAACCATCACGAGCAAAGGCGTAGGAAACATGGACACTAAAATCAAGTTGAATACTGCAGATGCAGTCGTCACTAAGGGCCAAATGCAACTAACTGGAGTCTTTCAGGGATCTTGGTGTTGGATCTGGTGAGGCGGTGTTTATCCTAGGGTTGCCTTCAACAATAGGGCCAGTGATTGCACTTGCTGAACAAGATATGCGCAGATGCATACTGTTCTGCCAGTATGAATTGCTGACGTTTTCATCAGCGGGGCATACCCCTGCGCCCTCTGAACCCGACGCCGACCCTAACAACCCCGGCATGACCTCCTCGTCCTTTGCGGCGTCCTCGATGTTGAGGAAAGTGTGCTTGATGCTCAGCTTCATGGCAAAAAACCTTCGTAATCTTCAAAAATGGCAATTCTCGAGCCTCGTGTGAAAGGTGTAAACAGTAGCTTGCAATGTGGAATCGTGCCCCCTGCCAACTCCAGAAACATTACAATCAAGGGCACGTCAGAGGTGCACCACTGCTCGCAAGCCCACTGCGCTGCCGTGCACGTAGCCCATGATCGACGGATTGCACCACATCTCCGCAGAAAGTACTTGAGTCAGTCCTTCCTTGCGCTGCCGTGCCCGCGGGCTGTCGAGGCCACGCGCTGCCTCAGGCTGGTGGCGATCCCGATTTGGGGCATGTTGCCGTGTCGTCGTGCTACCGAGAGCGCAACAAAGCAAAGCAGCAGCCGGGTGTGAACGCGTACAAGCACGGACGTCCGAGCTACCACACAGGCCCAAGCTCATCCAAGCTCCGCGCGTCGGATTGTCGCCGTGCTACTGCCGTGCTTGGCCTGCCAGGCTGTGCAGTCGCAGCACAACAGCACTCCTACTTCGCTGCGGTCTCCTACCTTGGATTTGCTACTCGGTTCTATGGGGGCAGAATACCCCAAGCATCTGAATCTAAATTGTTTCTGTACGTACACACATCTCCTGCGGCTTCCTCCAGGCACAACAAACAGCCTTGCAGATCATCTGTCGACTTTGTTCGATTTTGGGGACTCAAAGACATGCTGCAAAGCCCCACACGGCACACGGCAATCCTCCGACGCAGCACCGGCGCGCGGCCGACTGCCTTGGGTCCATTGACCATTCCGCCGAGGCCAATGCGCAACAGGGTTTAAGGTTTAGGGTTTAGGGTTTGCGGTTTAGGGTTTGGGGTTTAGGGTCTAAGGTTTAGGGTTCAGGGTGTAGGGTTTAGGGTTTGCGGTTTAGGGTTTCGGGTTTGAGGAGGCGTCTGCATCAATGTTTAACTTGCAGTGGTTATCGTAGCCGTAGCCCTGTTCGATGTCGAAGAGTTGGAGGGCTCTGTATCCATGTCCTGTGAGCCAGCGGCCGGCACGTGGTTTCCATTTTTTCGATCTTATCTTCAGCACGCTTTGGAGCGTCAGGGGCAGGAGCTTTGGCCTCAATATGCCTCAATGACTGACCTAGCGGATCAGCTTCGGCCCTCGGCACTATGGCTGCCAACTTCCAAGAGCTTTTTCGCGAAACTCGTGAAGCATCTCGCCATCTCGCCGCAGTCGTCTGCAAAGGGGCAGCGCCGGGCAGCCGCCCACGAGTCCTGGCCACGCGCCTATCGAACAGCTTACCCGCAACCACAAATCTATATATATATATATATATCCTGGTTGAACCTCTGGGGCACGCCCCAAGCAGAGCTCCGTGTTCCGATGTGAGTCCTTTTTTCCGAGTTGTCCGGCTGCGAAGGCGCAAGTCAAAAGAATGGAGAGGTATTGGGTCGTCGGTCATTTGAGCGACCCGGTCACGGCGCGAGCGCGAACTTTGGTCGAGTGAGCCAGAGGTGAGAGCCCAGGATGCCAGGACGGCGGGTTTAGGACGTTGTTCATGATTGGCCCTGTACGGGTCTGGGAACCTTAGCCCCAAAGCGAGTCCATAGAAACCCCCTTGCAACCCCTGTCTGATGGCTTTGCCTAAGGATTTGGCAGGAAACGAACTCCAGGCCTCTAGGGTTTAAGAAACGGATTGCCACAAATGCTGATTCTGGTCTACGTAACACAATCGTACTACGATAGCCCACACCTGGCTTATGCTACTTATGTTCATTGTGTACTCGGCTGGAACATTGCACGTCTTCACTGGAATCCGTAAATGTCTGCTAGAGATAGCGGATACGGTTGGAAAGTGATCTCCTGACGACATGTTCAAACCAGACGCTAGTTTGAAATTTAAAAGCTAACTAGCACGGGATGGGGGGAAGAATGCTGATGGTACGTGACCATGCCTCCGACTTGAAAGACACCCAAAGGCTTCAACCCTAACTCTTGAGGCGAAACTGGAACCTGCCTCGCAGATTCCGCCTTAGACAAAGTGCCTTCCACCCTGTCTGGGCGGACACGGAACCGGTCAACAACCTTAAGCGCAAAACACACAATTCTTACGCGTGTGGGGTTTGTTCCACCTTCCTCCATCACAGATAGTTTTTCCATAGGGCTTCTCGTAAAGGACATTTTCCCCCCAAAAGATGGAGCAACCCCCTTCTACGCATTGCGACCACTTGCTCGAAGAAAGCTGCCCACTCGGAGTATCAAGGCAAGGGCTAACGCATCAGACACCGCTAGTAAAGAGGGCCATGTTCAAGGTCAATGTAGGCTCACTATCTCAGCTCAGAAGTATGGGACTTTTGTGCTGCTGATAGATTTGGGGGTTTACGAGATTAGGGGTACCGTATTGGGTCCTTGTTATGAGGGGATCCTACTATTCGGGGGTCTATATAGGGTCCCTTTTATTCTAATCCAACATCTCGAGAGGCTATCCATCTCCCGAAGAGTCTAGACTTTAGTTTGGCGGTTTGGACCTTGAGACTCAGGATCGAGGGCCAGGCACCTGTTTACTTATCAAACCTCATCTTCAGGGAGGTTGAATGCAGGAATTGGGCCCTGATGGTTTGGGTAAAACCTTGTTCATGTGAGTCATGAGTAGAGCAGACAGGCAAGAGAGCAGTCGTGGCCACAAACCGGAGCCTTTGCAACGGAAAGCACAGAACTAGGAACTTGCCTCCACACGGCAGCTTGAAAACCGAATTCTTGGCCCTGCCGGATGGAGGCGAGTTGCGCGTGCCATTGGCACTTGCAGCGAAGGACCACTGCCAACTTGTCGAGGCTGTGGTTTGGTAGCTGGGGTCTTGGAAGCTGGCGACTTGACTTCTGTCTGACCAGTATATATCACTTCATCCGTAGTATTTCCCTCATATGAAGGCCACCAGCACCACGCTTGCTGCACCTAGAGGCTACGGTGTGGCGCTCTCGGGTTTTTGTTGGGGCTGCAGGCTTTGTACTACTTTTACAGGGCTTTAAGGTTCACGCTTCGGGGTTCAAAGATCACTCTCGGCTCTCGCACAGTTGGAAACCTGACTCGGTACATGCATATTGTTTTTTCCCCCTGGTGGGCCGTAAACCCTGACACCCTTCGTCGGCATATTGTTGTTTTTTTCCCTCTGGTGGGCCCTAAACCCTGACGCCCTTCGTCGGCATATTGTTTTTTCCCCCTGGTGGGCCCTAAACCCTGACGCCCTTCGTCGGCATATTGTTTTTGTTCCCCCTGGTGGGCCCTAAACCCTGACACCCTTCGTCGGCATATTGTTTTTTTTTCTTGGTGGGCCCTAAACCCTGACGCCCTTCGTCGGCATATTGTTTTTTCCCCCTGGTGGGCCCTAAACCCTGACACCCTTCGTCGGCATATTGTTGTCTTTTTCCCTCTGGTGGGCCCTAAACCCTGACGCCCTTCGTCGGCATATTGTTTTTTCCCCCTGGTGGGCCCTAAACCCTGACCACCCTTCGTCGGCATATTGTTTTTTTTTTTGTTCCCCTCTGGTGGGCCCTAAACCCTGACGCCCTTCGTCGGCATATTGTTTTTTTTTTGTTCCCCCTGGTGGGCCCTAAACCCTGACGCCCTTCGTCGGCATATAATTTTTTCCCCCCCCCTGGTGAGCCCTAAACCCTGACGCCCTCGTCGGCATATTGATTTTTTTCCCTGGTGGGCCCTAAACCCTGACGCCCTTCGCGGGCATATTGTTTTTCCTCCTGGTGGGAACAAGAATTCGTTTACTTATTGTTGGTACACGGATATGCACCAACAAGTCGTGGACGAGTACGAATAATTCTGGTAAATGCGAGAAGTAAAATATTTTCATAATGTTATGGGATCCAAAGGGTGGGTGGGTCGATATTCGACACCGGAGTAGCGAGCTTGACTAGTGAATGCTTGAACTTGAAATGCTGAACCCTAAGCCCTAAACCCGAGATCCACAAGAATGATGGGCTCTGCATGCGCTATGCCTATCTCCAACACCTGCTCCCAGGGATGCACTGGGCATCCTTTCAGCTGGCACCCAAAAGAGTCACTACTTAAACTTTACAGTACTTACAGGGGGGGGGGGGGGGGGGGGGGGCACATTGGCATCAAAGTCCCGCAGCTCGCTCGCTAAGATCCTGCTAGCTTTCAACATCATTCAACAAGCTCGAGCTACATGTGTCTCTCCACGTTCCCCACATGGCCGATGAAACGAAATTGTGTGGCCCTCGCAGGGTCATGGAGAAGTACCCTAGCGTCGCACGCGCAAGCAACTTGGCTAGCCACGGCCAACTCTGAGGCTGTGGCATAGCACTGTCGTGAAAATGAACTTCTAAGTAACGTGTCTCTGTCACTCTTTGAAACTTTGTCCGTAACTTTCGCCCACAACATGCTTGCAGCATCGACCTCTCAACACTGACTTGGAAGTGCAGCTGTTGCGGGACTTGCCAAGCGGGTCACTTCGAATTCATCACGCATTGCTGTTGATAATGCAGAATCAAGAAGAACCGGTGTTTCTGACTGCGTGGAACAAGCAACAAGTATCTCGCACGCTTGCATGCCCCAGT